TCTTATGCCAATCTGGGCCATCTTTGGCGCCTTCGTGATGTTAGTCTGGCTGCAAACGGTCGGACCTACAACGCGTCGGTGAGAGCAGTTCTGCTCTATGCTTGTGAAACCTGGCCTCTCCGAGTTGAGGACGTTAGACGACTCTCTGTGTTCGATCATCGCTGTATCCGAAGGATTGCTGACATTCAAGGGCAACACCATGTCAGTAATGCAGAGGTTCGGTATCGTGTGTTCGGGAACAGAGATGATAATGCAAATCGATGTCACCATCTTGAAACACCGACTTCGGTGGCTTGGACATGTTCTACGAATGTCGTCCCAGAGAATTCCACGTCATGCATTATTTGCCGACGCTGGGACTGGTTGGAAAAAGCGGAGAGGTGGTCAGTGTATGACATGGTGTCGTGGGATGAAAGAAAGCTACAAAGGACTGGCTTGTGTTGGTCCTTCACGACTCCCTGGTTGGGGTCCGAGAGATGGTGCGACACAGTGGCTAGAGACCTTATCAGATATGGCTCAGAATGGAAGCCAGTGGCGATCCTGCTGTAACCTTCTTTTACTTTCTTCATAAAAAGTGGTTGTGTCTCCCTTAACTGAAAGATTTGTTCTGACTGTACCTTTCCGTCCCTCCGTTTTTACCATTATCATTATTAAACCACCTTACATCAATCTCTTCGTTATCATTCTCTCTTTTTTCTTCCTTCCCCTTAACTTCTCATTGTTTTGTGTGGCGCATATATATTTGGCGCATTCTTGTACCAATATTTATGTGTTCAAATAAATAAATAAATAATAATCAATGGATTAGAATAAATAGATTAAGTAGAAATTTGAAACTTTGGAAGTTATTTTCTGCGGAATCAGTATATGTATTTTTAGAGTGTATTCAGAAAAACAGCCGGTTTATGATATTTTATTGTTGTCCTAATCGTAAACTTTTATTCAATTAATTAATTTGGACGGATCATATATACAACCTTAAAATCAAACTGTGGATCAGTAGAACGATTATAGTCGATTAGATGTCCAAGTATGGAACTCCTAACTGCTTTCCTCTCACCCTTGTAGAATCACACCGAGACATGTTCCTGTATCCGAGTTGATGTAATCAAAAATCGTATAACGACAGCGACAAAAAGAACATTCTATGCGGCAAAACTGAAAATAACGTTCAGTAGTAAGAATGTGTTTTCTGTATCCATAAAAGATAAGCTTCCACTTCTAGTCGCATCCATATCCGTCTACCAGATCACCTGCTCTTGAACATCTAATCGATTGTAATCATTCTAATGATCCACAGTTTGATTTTAAGGTTTTATATACGATTCGTTTAAATCTACCTGGATTTCTTCATATCCAATTAATTAATCGTCGCTTCACCTAATTGTAAACCTGTTTCTCGAATTTGCTCTTAGTGATGTAATATATTGAATTTTTTATGGTGAGTTGTGATCGTGTATTTTATGTCCACAATCACGTGGGTTTTGGAAAATACATAAAGAATACCGAATGACACAAAGAAATTGGCTGGTCTTTTCAGTGTTCTGATCGGTAACTTGGGAAAGAGTGAGAATGTTTTGTAGGCTATCGATCGTTAGAGTATAGAATAATGGTGTTAACGCACTTAATCTTAGCGGGTGCAAGTGAAATTCAGTCAGTGTGATTCAAGATTTAAAATGTGTACTCAAAAAGATGGAGAAAATCACAAAAGTGAAAATTCACTTTGAGTTCAGTTTTCTGAAAGTGAATTCGAATGGATATATAATCCTGTAGTACTTGTACGAACTAATGATTCCTTTGGACTCGAATTCCCGCTGATTACGAATTCCAAATATAATACGTTCATTTGTGTTCATCTATTTCTACCTGTCTCAAATTGCACTATTTCGGAATTCTTATTGAACACATTAATTCGAATACTTCTAACTACTATAAATCCTTTTCACTAAAAATAAATGTATGTACGCGACAATATTTACTAAAAAGAGAAATGAAACTCTTAGCTATGTAACAGTTCGTCAAATTAACAAAATTTGTAAATATCTCGGAAATATTTTTTTCCGCTTCAATCCCATATTTACGTTATATTTGAAAAAAAGCACATTTTACTTCTATATTTGAAATGGATACTAACCTTGGTGTATCAGTTTATTTGGATACCATAACTATTGGTTCTTTAACTCTAGAACTAATGGGCCAGTTGGACGTTGTGCTTAATAAAATATTGCAAGCTGGTTTTCAGTGACAAAAAGAAAAGTGTGAATTCCCGCTCGAGTCTGTTAGATAACTTGGATATATATTTGATAAGGATGGTTGTCGGCCAGATCCATGTAATATAAATGCTATCAAAAACATGCCCAGACCGACTGATGTTATAACGCTCTGTTTATTTTTGCGGATTGTTGGATATTATAGTATGTTCGTACCTTACATGAACAAATTGCGACGCCCATCAAACCAACTTTTGATAGCTAAGCAACATGGTACTGCGCAAACGAATGTCGAAATTCTCTCGACGAAATAAAAAGAATTTTATCCTCTACACTGTTGCTGACCGATTACAATCCTGGGCTTGAAATAATTGTAGTCGCTAAAGCGCACTACTTAATGCTGAGGGAGGAGGAGGATGTAATTCAAAGATTTTTGTTAACCTACTGAACAACGCCAAACCCAGCAACAAATAATTAAGAAGGCCCAGCAGAAACGATGTTTGAAAAGGAAATTAGGATATTAATAGAACAAATGAAACCAAGACCTAAAACCAGCCTCTTCAGGAACAAACGAATGGAACGACGATTCAATAAGGAACACGGTGTATTGTCCAGAAAGTTCAGTGTGGGGCAAACGATAGTCACAAGAGATTTCTATGGAGTAAAGCCAACCTGGAAGATTGGAACAATAATCCGTATTAAAGGAAAAGTCATTTATGATGTGGAAATTGGAGAGAAGATATAGGTACGATATGAAAACCAACTACGGCCGACCAGACAAGAGTGGGAAACTGAAAGTGATTTAAAGCCGGCTATACTATTAAACACATTAACTGGATTGGATAATTAAACTAAAAAGGATCCAAGTAGCAGGAGAAAGTGTACAACACCTCCAAGCGGTCGCACAGCATCCGACGAAAAACTAACTGAATAAGTCCTTATGGTCTTTATTATCCTTAATGCTTCGAAAAACGGGTGTTGTATCCGAAAATTAAATTATAGATAACTTCCAAGAACTATTTGTAGACTGTTATTATATATATTCTCATTGTATAACTGTTAAGTGACTAAATTATATAGATTTATATTTCTTTTATCATAAGCTTTCAACTTATCTATTGATTATTTCACAATTTACTATTCCTAAGTTATTCCCAATCCATTAGTTATGGTTTCTCACACTGACAGCCATTTCTGGCTCGGTCTTGTATAATTTTTACTTTTTATGGTATGATGCGATCTGGTTTGCTTGTATATAAACTACGTGTGTCTGAAATGAAATACAGTGGAGGTTGAGATTGTGTTCCGGACTCAATGGATAGGGCTAGGCGATAAGTGACTATTTTGAGAAACAATACAAACTCAGAATTGACGCAAGGCTGATAGTGCTGGTTGACATGTCATTGGTTTAACGCAGGAACACGGTCATGTAAGTCGGTATTGTGATTGGTAAATTTGTCACGTGATAATTGACAGAGGAAAAAGACTTAACAGTGCGAATACCATTTAGAATTTCAGGTAGTTTTCTCCATCATCTGTGGATCAGGAAATAATGATTGGTTTACCTAGTCAGACTAGTAGACAGTCTGACAGGTGTTAGATGCGTTATATACTTTCGTACCCTTGTTATTATTGTTGTTGGTTGGTAATATACTTAAGCTATGATCAGGCCAGTCACATGTTCTTGATCCGAGTTGTGTCGAAGTTCTGTAGAATAGACACTAGGAGGGTTTCTAGTGTAAATATTCGTCTAAAGTAAATTAACGGCCCGTTTGTGGGAGAAAACCGAGCATTATTTCAGGAATACAGTCTAACTATTCAATTTTAGTGTTTCTCCAACATTCAATCATCATTTATCATTTTGGGTAGCCCAGGAAATTTGGTTAGCATCCCCTATGCTCATAATCAGTTGGTGCAAGGACTAGGTAATCTTATTCAGAGCCCAACAGAAAGGGTTAATTTATCCATCTTTGTTTATATCTTCGTAGCTCATCGCCTTTCGCCGTATTTCCTTTAAAAACAACTACGAACTTTCGTGAATTGCAGAGAGATAGATGTAAGAAACGTTGAATGTTGTTTTATCTGCAATTATTTTAAGATACTGACAGTTACATGACTAAACACGAGTAACATTTAATCCATGAACAGGAGTAATGAGTTAGCCAATCGAATAATCTATAACTGTATCATTACTTGATGCAAGTGAAGTGCAAGATAATCCCGAGAGAACAGCGTCATAAACCCATCAAACAATCTGTAACCAACTTTCTAAACTTGGCTTTGAAGCTCCCCCACTTTTCATTGTATGTTTGTTCTGAACCATAAACAGCATACCATTGAAAATGTCTTCAGTAGATGATGTAGGATCATAATTAAAGGTGAGTTTAGGATGCTTAACCACCACGTACACCAACTTACAATAGTCGCTAACATTGCATTAAGTCGAAAAAAGTTCGGGGCGAACAAACTTAGGACATGGGATCAATTCATGACTGTCTCAGGAGATGGGGATTTCTAGGTTTACATCTTCAAGATAATCTATAGTGACAGACTCTTAGTGACATGAATCAAAGTTGGTTGCAGTGGAACATATTTTGCCAGTACAGGTCTTCCTCTGAATCTTAAGTTTTAATAATCACGCTTCCATTCAATGTATTCGAAATATATTGTTGCCATTATTGATGACTTAATTGTAAATTGAGTTACTTTATATTTGTGCCAGACCCCATGTTGATTACGACTGCATGACATTACTAGGTGTAAACACCAGTACAATAAAAAACAAGTATCTCTGTTTGAAAAATCAATTTACACTTTGTACATGATGCTGGTTAATTACAAAGTAGTTTAATGAAACAATCGGAAAATCGAGGATAGGTAAATGAAATATCGTAGTAACGAACGTATAAAAACCACTGATGCCTAGAAAATATTAGAGACATAACATAAACTACTTTTATGGAAATGCAGTAGCATAAAAGACATCTAAACAATAAGTGTCGAAATAATGTTTGAGAATTAAATATAAAAATCAACTGTACATTAAGAATACCTACTTAGAGCAATCAGGTTTGGTTATATGGTCCAGCTGCCAAAAGCAAATAAGGATGAACATAGTGTAGTCCTAGGACTGAGGTACGTCTAGTGAAAAACACTTCATTAGCACATGCATCAGAAACATCAGGACCAGTCGCTGAAGAATAATATCCTAAAACATTATGACCTCCGACTCCACTGCTTTTATTAATTTTAGAGTTTTGACGGACAAACTGCTGTTTAGTGAATCGATGCAATGCCAAAAGATTAGTTTTGGCGTTTTTATCATCGTTATTACTAGTAGCTGGAGTAGTAACAGCCGTTGACCAACCACTAACTGTATTCCATATTCGTAGAGCTCCCTCTAGACCACCCGAAGCCAAACGTCCTGAATTACCCGGACAAAATGCGAGAGATACAACCGGACCAGTCAACCACTGACTTGAGTCTGAGTTAGCTTCCTGAGAGTCACAATCACTACTTGGCTGATTTACAGAAGTCCTAGATGCCGAATAACCTCCAAGCTGACCAACCTGTTGTCCAGACCCTAAGTCCCAAAGACATGTAGTACCACACCAACCTCCACTAGCCAGATAACGACCACAAGGTGAAAACGCCAGACTCTGAACAGAACCCTGAAATATTGGAGAGAAAAACAGTGAATATAGCATATTGTGTGGAAATGAGACCAACGAATATATTGTATTACTTTATTTACTTATTTATTTAATCACATAAACATTGGTGCAAGGAAGCACCAAATATATATGCGCCACACAAGTCATTTGATTTGTGTGAGCGTTGGGATACTGCCCGGGCTCCCAAACCGAAGCAAGTGGTTTTCTTAGGAGTGAACAACCTGGGCTTTTGACCTAGAGGTCTGGTCCACAAGGCAGTGGAGTAACGTAAGGAGATGCAGTCCCATGGTAGCCGGTAACCAACAACATGTTCATACGTTTTTTTTCTCTCAGGATCCTGGAGCCCATGTGTACCATTGGTTTGGAATCAGGGTTTTTTAACTCCCCTAGGTGGACTCACCATGTCTACCGGCCCGGTTAAAGCGCCGGATATTCGCTTTTCATCCTCTAGATTTCATAATATTAATTTAAAGAAATCCTCGTGCGTAGTGATAGACTAAAAATATTGTCAAAACTTGTTTATTTTCAACTTCTATTTTCCAACTATTCATACATATTGATATCGGAAGAGAGGTAAAGCATGAGAACTTACAATAAATGATTACTACCACATTTATACTTGGTATCATCCAGGAAACGGATCTCAGGAGCTCTTGGGGGAATGAGGTAATTAGGCCTTATATTTATGTTGAATAAAAGCATAAATGATGGTACTAAACCTTTGAGAGTGGGGAAAGACTTTTGAGTGAATTTTTGATGGAATGCTTCTAACGACTACACCAGATGATACCTAATCCTTATCGATTTTATTGAAGAAATCCTGTATTAAAATTACTCTACAAAATATGAAACCTGACAAAAATTAATGCCCATGTTTTCTAAACTAAAAATAGATGAGGCTGTAGTGATATTAAGCAAACTTTCTGTGAAAGTTTAATCTTCCGAATGAGCAAGAAGACCACGTTAAGTTCAATGAATATTTTGTGCATTTACTACTTGGAAAATTATTGTTTAATTGACAGGTATTGAATCCTAACTTGCCGATACAAAAATTCACACCTAAGGAAAAGTAACTTGAGTAGAACCACTACCTTTGAAAGTCAATTTGTGTGCCTCAGTTTCGGATTCGTACATTACTAAACTCTCGATATGTGAACACGCAACGACACGAAAACTGATGTTAATCTGTAATTTAAATTCGCTTTTAGAGTCGTGTTCGTTAGTAAAGTTGATAATTATTAGTCAGTATCCTATATGATACTAGAGATAACTTGATTGTAGTTTGAAACTTAATCAAAATCAAAAATAAAATAGCTTAAGTTGTATAGAAGATTGATTCATCTTTGATTCTCCTTCATGTCTTGAACATCGAATCACTTCTTAAGTTTTATTCCAACCACAATTTATTCACTTTTTCTCTTTTCTATCATTTAGCTCCCCCACTAGTATTAGTATCATTTGTATGCTTTATCCTTTTATATTTTCCTTAATAATTTCCCACGTACTACGCTGTTTATAGTGTGCCAATTTGAAGCCATAACTCGGTGGTTGAAAATTTGGAGCCATACAACTTAGTCAATTAGTCAAACCCAACGTAGAACCTGGTACATGTGTACATGGGTTCAAGTTGCTGCACCCCATTACCACAGTAACGTCAAACTATTAGGCCAAATCCCATAGTAGTAGGGATAGTAACAGGAATAATATTAACTAGGTAATCAATACACAATTCGAGAAAATACAAATTGGTATAACAGAAAAAAATTATAAAGAATTCAGAAACTTAGGATCTAGGGGAAAGATAAGGAGTGGACGCAACTCCACCACTGCAAACAAATCTAAACCATGTCATTCAAAGTTTAAAACCAACGGTTACGATGGTCACGCGGACCCTAACCAAGTAGTTTGCACCTATATACATGGTTCAGTTCAGTAGTTCGTGTCTTCATGGACTGATGCCATGTTTTAGTTTGACTGCCCCTAGGTTTCTTCCAACTTGCTCCTACAGTAGCCATCATCGCGCGTTGATGTATTCGGTGGCTGTGAATATGTAATATATGTCCTAATCACCTCAATAGATAGAGATCCACTATCTTGTCAATTGATTCGCCATACTTACCTACTACTCTGCATTTAACGTCAGAATTGCTGGCTTGATGGTCCTAAAATATACCACTGATATATCGATATTGTGCTGAATTGTAAACGTGATACAAACACATATCATTCTGTTTCTTCATTAACTCAGTTACCTGTTTATATATACTTAGATTAGTGTACACAAAGATAAACTTCTATGATTAAAAAACAAAAGATAATCTTCGAAAGTAGCCAGTAATAGATGTTTATTCAGAGGAAACCCGAATCCAACTGTTAATATGAACCACTTACCTTATGACCTGTATAGATCCTTGTTAGCTTTCCAGAACGAACATCAAATAAGCGTACAGCTCGATCAGCGCTGCCAGTTGCAAGATAATTAACATTTGGATGTATACACACTGACGTCACATCTCCTTTATGTCCAACAAAAACACGTAAAGCATCTGGTGCATGATCAGTTGCATACAAATGTGCACTACGATCAGCTCCTCCTGTCGCTATATAGTGACCATATGTGGGAGCCCAAGTAACACACCAAACAGGTAGAAGATGATCACGCCATGCAGTTAGAGCACCACCCCACATTAATGTGGACCATAATCGGACAGTGCCATCTGAGCTAGCTGAAGCAATGAGTTGTCGGTCAGGACTAAACGCAACACCGAACACACTGCCAAGATGACCTAGCAGATCCCGAGTTAGGTGGGTCTCACTAAAATAGTACACGAAATTAAGATACATATCACTTTTATGCAAGTTTTTGTAAAAGATAGACGATGGTTTTATTACGATAACTAGTTTGATGTCCAAACGTAAACAAGATTTTATGTAATGAGGGTGCAATACGAAAGCGAGTAAAATTTGAGTGATTAAAAGGGGTACCTGGTGAATTTTTGTATACAGCAACAATTTACCTGAGGTGGAAATTCTAACTAACAATGCATATGAAAATGTTGGGGATCACGAACAAGCCATTGTTTTATTTATTTATTTGAACACACAAATATTGGTACAAGGGGGCACCATATATATGCGCCACACAGATTAAATTAAAGTAGTGTGATGACAATAATAATAATAATAATATATGGGGAAACGGAAAGGTACAACCAGAAGAATTCTTTCAGTTAAGGAAGATACCCCGCTTCGGTCAGGGCACCCGGGAGGTATCACAGCCCACACACAAATATGATGAACTGCCTATAATTATGGAAACTACTTTTCAAGCTTCGAATAACAATCAAGTGATTCAAATGATAATTATTATTATTATTATTTACCACATTATTCACCCTCTTTTATACTTATACAGCAGCTCGCCCATGGTGGAAATTCGACTCTATCTCAACGTTCTCGAGTCACTGTCCGGTTGAAAATTGTATGTTACCACTGAATATGAGTACTGAAGCAGTTTTTCTAAAACCACCTGCACCATTCAAACTGGTTACCTTCAACGTTCACACACTTATGCAGGTTGGACAACAGATAGGGCTGGCTATGTCTTTGGAAAGTCTTAATATCGATGTCTGCTGTCTATCCGAGACACGTATTCAAGACTCTGGTGAAGTACTACAAATTCGCTCTTCATCTGTCGCTTCAAAAAGCTTGTTTCACGTGCGCTTATCCGGGGACCCTGTGGCATCTTCGTCTGGTCTTGCTGGCGTTGGTGTCACACTAAGCGCTAGAGCTGAGGCAGCACTAGTCGATTGGATCCCCATTAACAGTCGGTCATGTGCTGTTAGATTAGAAAGTTCCATCAAAGTGAGAAGAAATCGGCATGAGATACGATGTGTTTTCGTCATCTCCGCCTATGCCCCGACAGATTGCAGCCCGGATGCAATCAAGGATGAGTTTTACCACCAGTTATCTGTTCTTCTCCAGAAAGTGCGTTCGACAGATATTGTAGTACTAGCCGGAGACTTGAATTTGCAGGTCGGGTGTCTAGGCACAGAAGAGAGTCGTTTAGGTGGTTGATGGGGACTCGTTGGTCCCAGGTCAGATAACGGGGACCGTCTACTGCAACTGTCAGTCAGTCAGTCAGCTACAACGTAGGACCAGGCACATATATGCATCGGTCCAGGTTGCCATACCGCATCAGCACAACAAGATGAACACCGGATTCATAGCAGTGGTTAGGTCAAAGGTGGTAATATATGGGAGAAAGATTGCATATAAGGATACAGTACAGGAAGAAAGAATTAGTTCGTAGAAAGAAAGGTATGAAGTGATTCTAAACCCTTAGTTTAAGGGAAGACAGGGAATGTATACACCGACGCCATTGTGACTGATTCTGAGCCATATCACCAAGAGTCTCCAACCATCGGTTACGAAAGTCACGCGGACCCCAAACAAGTAGTCTGCATCTACCAACATGGCTCAGACTAGAGGTTAGTGTCTTCAAGCACTGATGCCACGTTTTGGTTTGGCTGCCCCTAATTCTCTTCCAACCATCTCTAATACCCGTTAGCATTGCACGACGTGGTAATCGGTGTCCAGGCATACGTAACACGTGGCCCAACGATCTCAGTCGATGAAGATTCACAACCTCATCAACTGATTTACCATCATTCCCTAATACCCTGCGTCTAACCTCACTATTACTTACCCGGTGATCCCAGCAGACACCAGGAATATTTCTGAAGCATCTGTGGTCAAATACTAGTAGCTTACGAGTATCTTCTACTCTTAATGGCCATGTTTCGTTGCCGTAACTTTAAACAGAACGGATTGCCGCGCAGTATACTCATCCTTTTATTGATAGATGGATATCTCGCCTTCGCCATAGGTGACGTAAGTTGGCAAAAGCCAAACGAGCTTTTCCAATCCGTGCTGAGATCTCGTCCGATACCAACTCGTTAGGGCTGATCAGACTTCCAAGATAAGTGAAGTTGTTAACGCGTTCGACTACTTCACTCCCGATCCTTAGTTCAGGTTCAGGTGTTGACGCAGACCAGTCCTGAAGCAACAACTTGCATTTAGAGGGAGAGAAGCGCATTCCAAACATTCTGGCCTTGTTGCTCAGTGCTACCAGAAGACTCTGCATTTTATCACCATCTTCACCAAACAGGACTATATCATCTGCGTATTCTAAGTCGATAAGTGGACCTCCTGGAAGGAGATCAATACCCGAGAATTCAGTCGACGAGAATGTTATTTCCATCAGTAGGTCTATGATGAAGTTAAACAGAAATGGAGAAAGTGGACAGCCTTGACAGACACCACTTGAGGTTGCAAAAGTAGATGACATTTCGCCATAAGCTCTGACTCGACTAGTAGTGTTCGAGTAAAGAGCCTTCACAAGGTTTACGTACTTCTAAGGTACGCCTTTCAATGACAGACACTGCCACAGAATCTCGTGGTCTACCGAGTCAAATGCTGCTTTCAAGTCAAGACAGACCACCATTGTCGGACGTCGATAAGTATGCCTATGTTCTAGAACCTGACGAATGGTGAATATGTGTTCGATGCAGCCACGACCAGGTCTGAAGCCAGCTTGGTTCTCTCGTGTTTGCAGTTCACGAGTCTTAGTTAAGCGACTGATAATTATCGAGGCTAGTATTTTAGATACTATATTAGTTAAACTAATCCCTCTGTGGTTGTCACAGGATTATTTTGACCCTCTCTTATATATTGGGACGATAAGTGATTGTCACCTGTCAGATGGAATAACGTCGAACTCCCAGATCTTAGCTAAAATATTAGTCAATCTAATCGCTAAAATTGGACCACCATCCTTAAAGACTTCTGGAGCCAATCCATCTGGACCAGCTGCCCTTCCTCGTTTCAGATTAACTATAGCCTTTTGAACTTCTGCTAGAATTAAGGGACCTAATTCAGTGTTCCATTCACACTGTCTGGGAATGGAGGGTAGTTGTAGAGTAGCTGAAGGCCAGCTGAACTGTTCTCTGAAATGTTCCGCCCATCGTTCTAAACGTCTGGACTGAGAGCAGATGAGGGTGTCGTCTTTTTCCGAAATAGTCTGACTTATGCTTGACTTAGTAATTCCTGTTTCTCTTACTAGTCTGTAGAGCTGTCTTGTGTTCCCTATAGTCGCCGCCTTTTCCATCTCTTTTGCTTTCGTTGCCCACCACTGCTCACGGTCGTTCCCTAGACTTTTTCTTAACCTAGATCTGATTTGTTGTCGCTCTTCATCATGTTCGGAACCTGATGGGACGAATTTGCCAGAATCCATCAGTGTGATAGACTTTGAAGAAATCCACTGGTTCTTTGTAACTCTGTGGTTTAAGTCACTAATAGATTTCATTGCTGTTTCCACAGCTGTTTGTATATCTTTCCAAGCAACATCTGGGTCAACCTCGTTTCCAGAACTACCTAAGTGTGACCTCAGTTGTTCCTGGAACCTACTTTTGGTTTCCTCGCTACTCAATTCAGTTCTAATGGGTCTTTTTAGTGTGGCTTTTTTGCGTCCAGTGAGGCGCAAGCAGATGCGTGCCCGTATTAGGGCATGGTCAGAGTCCAAGCAGGTACTTCAGAATGAGCGAAAATCTTCTACCGAGCCTCTTCAACGATGACTGATGACAATATGGTCTATTTGAGTCCATCGTTGGTTTGGTGCAGGCGGTCGCCATGTTAGACGATGTCTCTCCTTATGCTTAAAATTTGTGTTTGCTAAAAATAAACGAGTGTCTGAGCACAGTTGCAGCGGACGATCACCATTATCTGTTCGTTGTGCCGGAATACTAAAATACCCACCTAAATGCCTTTCTGTTTGGTTTAAACTACCTATCTGGGCATTAAAGGCACCTGCTACGAGTACTATGTCTGAACGTTTAGCTTTGTGAAGAACTTCAGATAGCTTTCTGTAAAATTCATCTTTCACTTCATCTGAGCTGCAGTCGGTGGGGTCGTAGGCAGAAACGACAAAAAGGCAACGACGTGTGTCCCTACCCTTCCGAGTTCTTACGGAGCCGTTTAGCCGAACAGCACATAGACGACTGTTGACGGGGATCCACTCTAACAGTGCTTGTTCCGCTCTCATGCTTAGTGCTATCCCTACTCCTGCCAGTCCACGAGAGCTGGCCATCAGGTCACCAGATACACGGGGGGTGTATCTCGTTGGCTCTCCGTTTTGCCGAGGTGAGGTCAAGTGAATGACCACACTGGGATCCTGTATGCGTGTTTCGGAGACACAGCATACGTCAATGGTACGAGATTCTAGGGTTTTAGCAATTGTTGGAGGTGTTCTAACATTTGGCAGAGGGTGAAGATATGGTCAGAACATCCTCGACCAGAACGAATCCCAGCCTGCTCCTCGCGAGTCAATCTTTTTCGGGTTTTGAACAACCTACTAAGTATGACGGAAGCCAATAGCTTGGACGCAGACGGAAGTAGACTTATCCCCCGATAGTTGTTACAGGAACGACGTGAACCATTTTTAAAGATAAAGACAACTATCGACTCATTCCATGACGTCGGTACATTCCCTCGCTCCCAGACCTTTGTAAACAACACAGTCAGTTCCTTAGTCAGAAAGTCACCACCATCTTTAAAAAGAGCCGGAGGTAAGTCATCTGGGCCAGGTGATTTGTAACGCTTCAAGATTTGGAGTTCCTTGTGGACTCCCGCCTCATTTGGTGGATCAGTCGTCACCGGCCATGGAGGGCAGGACAGTCTGACCGATGTTGCCGGAGCAGCAGGCCAGTTGAACTGCCCTTCGAAGAATTCTGCCCATCGTCCAGGACGTCGATGGATGTTAGTGATTGGCATCCCGTCATCCTCACAGATTGTTTCGCTCACACCAGACTTTTTGCTGCCAGTGGTTGGGATGAGTTGGAAGAGCTTCCGGTAGTTACCAGATGCATCTGCTGCTCCCAGCTCATTAGTACTCTCCGGCCACCAGGCTTCTTGGTCCTTACGCAAGCTTTGTCCGATTTCATTACGAAACCGCCTCCGTTTGTGGTCGAACTCACGGTCACCCGGAGTAGACTGACGGTCTTCGATGAGTTGTAAGGAGCCATACAAACTTGTAACGATGGAAATAACAAGCCAACAACTGTTGTGCTGAATCACTTACGTCGACAATATCATGAAGTCACCAACTTGTTGAGTGAAGAGATTGCAAATTATAGCTGTCACTTACTACCTTGTTTATATTCACCCTTTTGTTTTTCGTTCACAATTAGAACTCCATGCAACTACTTTATTGATGTAGTTTATGATGTCTTACATCATTTTAGATCTAAATTATAACAATTTAAGTAATCTAGTTTCTGTATCCGACTTCTAAATGAACTATGGTCAATATCTTGAACGGCTTCTATGAGTCCGAGTAGGTGAATAGCTATTGTTCAACTATTATTTGCTTTTTATATGTCGCCAGCGCGGTTTGCTAAGAATGAGTAGTTACACATATCAGGTTTATTTAGACAGCCTTTCATTTCAGCTCGTTAAAAAGAAATCATTGATTTAAATAACGAGGACGATCGTCAGTATAAGAGCCAAAAACGTTGAGAAGTTACAAACTATAATTGACGTAAGCAAAATAAGAGTAAATAAATTAAGCTGCATATCTATTTTATTATTCCAATGGAGGTTATATTTTTAAAGCAACAGATGGAATTACACCATTTCATTCCCTATTCTCGAACCATATTCTCAAGGTTATCTCTTATTATCGGTGCTACTACAGTCATTTCAGCTCATCGGTATTAATCTTGTTAATTTCATCTCCATGTGTTGATTATGGTTACTCCAACTAATACACACTTGTGGCGGGTCCTATGCTGATTATGACTGACTAACTAGTGGAAGGTTTAGACCTAATAAAACTACATAGAATGATTCATTCAGTCGAGTGCAATGTATAATCGGTACGCATGTACATAGAATAGGATATTTAGCAGAAAAATAACGTAACAGATTGTCTGAAAATGGAACTACTTAAGAAAATCTCGGAAAACGACGACCAGCAAATAGACACTCAAAAATGACTTACTCATTTTCGTCATATAACATATTAGTTTTTACTCTAGAGTCATCTTTATCCAGTAAGCTCAACTCTGAAGCCGGAAGCATACGCCTTAATGATTCGGGGCCTAAAGACCAAACACGGATACGACCTGATCCGAATCCAGCAGCTAGTTGTGATGAGTCATCACTGAAACTGCAACATGTAACACCACCTCTTCGAATAGCTAGGGTTGACTCACCAGCCTGAGCATTGCATATTGTATAAAGGACTGTGCTTGTACCGATTGATGACTTTTGTGGATTTCGCTGTTGATAATTACGTAGGAGAGTAGATATCTCTCGTGAAAGAGCTTGTTTGCTTTCAATGTATGACTCGCGCAGCTAGAAAATTATAAATTTACAACAGCTAGAACATAGAAGTATTAATGGTCGCAAACCACAGTATACAGTTATTGACAATCAACTTACCTTCATACATGGAATTTACAGAGAAAAAGCTCTTTTACTGTGCTAATCTTGATCATAAATTATACTAATTGCAAAAAAATTAATTTGATGAACGGAAATTCTTCGCTTAGAGTATGAAATGCGATTACTCAATAATCTTACTTGTAGGATGCGCGAGTCGGAAACAAGTAAACCACCATCACTTATGGTGATTGCGGACTTTTTGTTAATCTACATCCAAATTTAGTTTGAACTTTTGTTTCGAAATAACTTTTAGAAAATACAGCCTTTAAAATACACGATCAATGAAAGTAATGAGTATGAATAAACGACATAAGTCGACACATGAAAAACATCTATCATTGAACAAACGTACACAGAACTCAAGTATCAACAGGCTTTCGGGACAGAGCAAACTAAATGTGATTTAGGCAACTAAACTGATGCTAGCTTTAGAAATCTCGGTATCCTAAATACAAATCTCTTGCAAAACAAATTGATGACAATCGATTATAAAACAAGCAACAAGTAAATAGAAACTACCTTAGGCAGAGGAATTCGATCAAGAGCTGGAGAGTTGGAGTCAGATTTGCTAACATCTTTCGAAAGAGATGGTCTACCAGGATGTCCAGAACCTGACGTCATACCATCCCTCCGTTTTTTCTTTTTCGCAACACTCTGATCCCCGTTATCTAAAAAAGACAACCAGGAACATACATATCACTTTGGGCAACATTTTAATCACTATTAGAGTGAAATAATTACAATATTATGTCATTAGTCCTCTGGATACTAGAAAATATTTGCAATAAAAGTGAGTATGCAGTCGCATTTAAACATAAATTGCCAAATTTAGTGCTTGTTTGGCAGGTATAAATTATATTCTTACATGAATACGTCATTACAAAATATTGCAATTTAAGCATATGAATGTAATTTTCTGTGAGGGATTTCAGGAGCAAATTACCTTCGTTATTATCTACATTGCTCCCATCAATGTCATTGAAGCCAGGATCAGTATCCATTTCGGCTGGTAAGTCTAATGTAGGATCTCTTAGAAGACCATACAAAACAGGTTCTTTGTTAGCGTCAAAGTGAGCCTCGCCAAATAAAGCACCACGACGGCAATCGACTTGGAGCTTTGACCTAGGAGGGCCATTGACGACTAGAGATTTGAGACATGTAGTGCATCCTTACTTTCAAGTGATAACTGTTCCTTTAAAATACTTTGAATGACATTCATTTCTTTATCTTGAAGAAACTGACGCAGAAGTGAATAAGACTCGGCCGAAACACTGACAACAAACTCGGAAGCTCTAAACGATTCAATCAAAGGATTCATTGACAAGTGTTGTGAACTAGTAATGTTCGATAGCATATTAATATCTGACTGGTAAAAATCTTCTTGATATTTCCTGAAAGTTATGAGGAACTTTTTGGCTGTCTTCATAAGAAAACGAATAAAATTACCCTCTCCACAAATGTTTCCACTGATTAGACGGAGATACATATGGACAAATATAGGGAAGAGTAACGTAGACAACTCCACCTGAAGGTACGCAACCCGTTAGAACTAAGTAGTTTTTACTTTATGCACATCAGGAACCGAATCCATAAATGTGAGAACAGACTGGTAGTTAGCGCAAAAGTTCTCTGGTTCATCCTTTACTTGACTGAAGGATCGTAACAAAAAGTAGAAGGAACTGACGCTTTAAATTTCAGAAATTCCTCAGCAATTTTTTCATTAATGAGACCAGCTTCTTGTTTTAAAGCAAGCTCCGATTCCTTTAAAAACAATACTGAAGTTTAAAGGCTTCTACTTTTAAATTGTACTTCTGGAGAATCTTCAGCGCACTTAGGATTTCCTCATTCGAGCCCATTGCCTTTTGTGTTCCGATGATACCAAAAGAGGCGGCGACCTTAATGAATATCCAATAGTAATCTGATGTACTTACAAATTATTTTAAAATGGAGGTTGTGGTAATTAATGTAGACGTGTATAATTTATAAGAGCGCGTAACAAATTTTGAATTACGCAAGATGAGGTCAAGCATGTGACTACTAAGTATATTAATTCAGTTCTATTTCCACCTATGTCCTCTTCGACGTACATTCGTCCACAATACAAAGTGACTCTATCTACTGCTACTGCTTACTTCGGTCTGGTTAATTATTTAGACACACGGCAATATTTTCAATTAGGTTCTTATTGAATTCACTCATTATCGAGCATCTTAATTAGCAACACAAACACTGTAAATATATGCAGCCCTCCTAGTATTATGTTGTGGTTAAAAGTCGGATGAATCGCACTGATCAATCTAATGTCCGTTGACATTGGTTTGGCGTTTTAGATAATCCATTATTCATGATTCAGAAGTAGTACTGTGATGTGTGTTGTTGATGTCAACAGATATAAGTAGTATGTATCGCCTGTAGTGACTCACATTTATCACGAGAACACGACTGGTTTAATAAAAACAATTATTATTATAACCAACTGTACCAGTGTTTGTTTTAACGCGCTTTTGTTTGACTGTGCTAATGACAGCTATTTTGTGCTTCCATTCTTATACTTACACTTCGATTGTAATTTCGCGCGAATTCGGTTACGTTCTGTAACCAAGCTTGTATCCTGGCACGATCTCGGTATCTTTTCGATGCCACAAGATCGCCAGCAAATATATATCGACTTGGTCCATTAATTGCCTTCTGATATTTGGCTTCTCGGGGATTTTATGGATTTCTTTGGTTACGTTCAACCTACGTCTTCTGATTTATCTGGCACGTGTTTCTTGGTAGCGGTGTTCATAGTTAATCTCAACTCGACACCACGTTACACGCCAATCGAAAGTGGGATGCCTGGAGGAAGAAGGTTGGGAAAATCGAAGAGAGAAAAATGAGAACAGAGAGTGGTTGATGAAGGGATGAAAAAACGATAAAGTCTGAGATAATTTATGGATATTTTTCAAACATACTATTCATTGTGTGGTCCTCAGATCTTATCAAGAAATTTTTTAATGTTGTATTGAGATTCATTTGGTTATCCCCGCCTGTGTTCTCTTTTACCGCAGTACCACATCAGAACTCTCTTGTAGTCTTAAAGCATTTTATCAATATATATTTTGCCACTCAAAAGAAGATAGACCGAAAATGCAGGGATTCAAAAGATGTGGAGGATGAGTAAATTGACCAAATTAAGACAAGTACATGCATTTTCCTCTATCATTTGAAAAGGGATTGAGGACAGTGTACTCATATCTTCAGGACGAAGACATAAAGGACAAATTTTTAAGTCAACAAAATTCATTGGGTTGTTTGTTCATGTCCTCGATGGCCATGCTGACGCGGTTTATGGATGATAATCCAAAAACGTCCGTACGCCATATTTTGTCATTACTTCATGACACCTGGATTTGCCAACCATTTCACTTTACTTGGCTTTTCTTTTAAAAGAGTACTTCAGAAGAGCAGGTTTCAAAGGTGTAGGATCCAAACTATGGTTTGGATGTAGAAGAATAGCCTACCGGGGACTTTAGACACGCGCCCTTTCCCGTCGAAATCAGAACAAGTAATCGGGTAACTAGCGGTTCTATAATTCATAATAAATTTAATGTAACTCATTACCTAAACAAATATTATCACCCGGCTATTCAACCAATGATTGTTCAATCAATTAAATCTAAATTACAATAAATAAAGAAGTTGATAGAAGATGAGGAAAAATTACCAATCACAACAAATCAACGTTATTCTATCCTGGCTGGATAGATCACACACAACAGGAGGAACAAATCAATATGGCTACCGCCAAGAACAAGTGTCAAGTAAAACAACGCAGATGCAGTTCATGAAGAAACACAAACTTAGTGAATGCGTAATAAAAACAAAAACTATAACAAAAATACAAATATTAACAATTCAAATGTAATCAAAATACAACAATGTACAACTAATGCGATCAATAGGAATAAAGTACAAGTATATACATGGAGGGATTTTCACCAACACATAAAACCTTCAAAATGGATCTTACAAAAGGTGCATACGAAATTTTAACTATTTTTCTAATCTTAAGGCGCATTAACTTCACGGTTTCTTTCCTCATCCATAAACAGAAAAGAGCTCGCGAAACTGTATGACATCGCGATTCAAGGGCATTTTCACGATGTGAGAAACAAAATACAAAAGCGTCATTGTGGAGAACAAGAACATTTATGTGCTTCTTTAAAGTTATAACCATTCATTGCTGTCCTAAAGGTGCAATTTTTAGTATTAACTAACATGACCGTAAGTAACACTTCACGTAGACAGTTATTTAACAAACTATGGAAGTTAGATATCGTTGCAATTTTTTATGTTAATTAAATTTCGGAATCCTTAGGGAGATTACTTTGCTTCTCAATAGTCAAACTGCAGTTTTAGAAAGGCATTGCTGTCAGTTTTACTCTTCTTGTGATTGTTATGTTAATAAAGGTGAATATAGGAAACAATTGAGGTTAGACGAAAAGTGGATTTAAAAAGTAAACGATTTGAGGTGTATTTAGGTGTAAAATAGACAAGAGGAAATTCAGCAATATTTCCCTATGACAGGTGATAAAGCAGACATTCTATCGCATTTACCCCTTATTTTCCTTTTATTTTCTAACTAACTTTCATCATCATTTCCCCTTTTATTGGTTGCTCAAGTGAACCATAGAAAAGTTTTTATTTTTAAACTGGCATTTCACCGTCTTATTAGATGACTTCTCGTGAATATGTAAAACTCGAAGTAACAAAATGAAAAGTGATTTGAAATGAGTACCGATAAGAGTCACTTAATTTGTTGCTGTTTGAGCAAATTTGGCGACTATTAAGTGGTTTTAGTGGCCCAAAATCTGATTTCATTTGAATCGTTTCTGATTGTTATTGAAATATACATGTCGCCAATCAACGTATATAATTCTTGACTTAAATCACATAATAAACGACGAAATTAAATAAGCCAAATACGAGAATGACTTTCAAGTCTACATAGCTCGTACAAGTGTTGATCTGAACAGACAATCGGAGGATCGCAGAGAAGGAAGTAACAAGGAGAGGGAGAAGCGAGACTAAATGACTAGAAGTGGTGCGAACGTGATGTAGTCAAGCGTTATATGATTTTTATAGTCAGATAAAAACAAGTTGCAGACATGTGATGAGTAAGATAGAAAACGAACAAACATGCACTTGCATGAAGACAGTCATGACTGGTAAGCGAATAATTAAAAACGTCAGAATGTAGCTTGAGGAGATAATTTTCAAATAACCCAAACAAAAAATATCTTTACATATCTGTGGAAAGTATGCCCTGAGTCAAGAGCATCAAACTGACCATCCGGCCAAATAATGATCTGTGCATATTGGTCGTTATAAGCTGAATGGATTTAGTGTGGAGTGATGTTATCACAAACTGGAGAAATCGAGGACACAAAGAGGTGAACAAATAATTCTAAGTGATAACTAATTTTATTTCGAGTGTTATATTGGAGATTCTTAGGCCTATAATTTTGAAGTATAATGAAATCTCCTCCATCACGTTCTGAGATGTTAGTCGTCTAACATTGTCGGGATAACTCTATTCGTTAATGATTTATGACAGCAACTAGTAGTTGATGGCCTAAAGCGGTTTTTGAGCAAGTAAGATACAACCCTGGCGAACGGGTTCGAACGGAGACATTGAGGATGACAACCAAAGAGGTCGTTTGGGACGCACAAAACGTACGCTCACTTGAAGAAGCCAGTTGTTCAACGACAAAGACGCAGGACAACAGGTGTGGTGTGTTGTTCGAGGGGGTTGTGGCGTACGACCGATAAACGGGCCCACCAACGACAGCAATAAATACCCACTTCTTGTTTATCCACCAGTCATATATTTCATGTTAATCATAAACGATATAACGTTTGTTGGCTCATTTTTCCCCATCCTCCTGTTACTGTTTGGTATGCTATTTGTCTTTTTCTGTCTAATATACTGAACCATTTGTTTTCTATACACTAAAAGTGTTAATTCACATTTCAGAAACAGACAAAGTTTATCAAGCCAAATGGCTTACTTGTCCTAGCTTTGGTAAAACTAAGACTTTGTGCTCTGATGAGTAAAATTGGAAATGTAAAATAGAAAATTTGTCTTCTTGTTCTTCTTTACCTGTCCAGATGAAGGATGTGCGTTCTGAGACCAAGGGTATCAGAATGTTCGCAGACGTCATTTCGTTTTCGTTGCTCGAGAGACGAACAATATCTCTTAAATCCTTTTCGGACATAGTCCTATATGTACGTGTCTGAGTGTAAGCGAGTCCCTCTCAATCGCATAGTGTATGACACTGGAGCCTCGTTTGCCCTTGACTAGTGATTTTACCGTCTAATCTATTTTATATATATATATAAATGTACATATATATGTAATGTTTAATCCATCCTACAGGGTACAAATAAATGATCATTTTTCTTCCTCTGCATTATTTCCTGATAGGTAGACTTTTCCGTTTATTCAACCCTTGCCTGACCATTGCTGGTACCTTGGCGTGGTGGTTGGGCTTGCCTATCGTAATGAACCAATCGAGCTATACTGGCTGAAACGATCGTTCCGCAAGATCAGCTGAAGAGCGGAAAGACTAAAAGCAGCAAACCGAAGTTGTTCTGCTGACTGTACAGAATTGTGGTGGCCGTGAAGTGTTCCCCTCAGACAACCAGCATAACAGCGGTTCGGCCTTCCCACAAGGGGTGAGGTTAGAAAAGGCCGGTGCAAAAAATGCACACCTCGCCTTGTCTCACGGGTAAGGTCTCAAAAAGTACGGAGCTAAGACGAAAATTATTAACAAAATGTTCGTGTGTGACCGGCCTCAACCAGATGTCTCTTGGGTACTGCAGTTACGCTCTCAGGTCACTATGAACATCTCTAAC